TTTTTTTTTGAGACAGAGCCTCAAGCTATCACCCTGGGTAGAGTGCCATGGCATTACAACTCACAGCAACCTACATCTCCTGGGTTTAAGCAATTCTCTTGCCTCAGCCTCCCAAGTAGCTGGTAGTATAGGTGCCCACCACAACACCAGGCTACTTTTTGATTGCAGCCGTCATTGTTTGGTGGGCCCAGGCTTGATTTGAACCCGCCAGCTCAGGTGTATGTAGCTGGCGCAGAGCCAGGTCTTTTGTTTTTTTATTTTTATTTTTTGAGACAGTCTCACTCTGTCACCCTGAGTAGAGTGCTGTGGCATCATAGCTCACAGCAACCTAGAACTCTTGGGCTCAGGCGGTCCTCCTGCCTTCTCCCAAGTAGCTGGGACTGTAGGCGCCTGCTACCACAGCTGGCTATTTTTAGAGCTGGAGTCTCGTTCTTGGGTAGGCTCATCTCAAACTCCTGAGCTTAGACAATCCACCTACCTTAGCCTCCTGGAGTTAGGTTTATAGGCATGAACCACCACACCTAGCAGTCTTAGGTCTTTGGTCTGCTCACACTCCTCCCTTGTTTCTTGGCCCTGGGCTTCCTGTTTCTCCATTCACTCCCATTAACTCTTTCTGCCCATTTCTTTTGGCCAAAAAAAAAAATCAGCTTTGATCAGGATCCACTCTGAGAACCCTTCCAGGCCTGACTGTCACACTGTATTCTTGTGCCTCCACCTCCCCATTCTGCTGTCCTTTGATCAGGTTGCACATTTCTTTTGAGATAGAGTCTCACTGTGTTGGTAGAGCGCTGTGACATCACAGCTCACAGCAACCTCTAACTCTTGCACTTGAATGATTCTCTTGCCTCAGCCTCCCAACTAGCTAGGACTACCACTGAGCTATGGGCAACTGAGCCAGGCCCCACATTTTGTCACAGTTGCTTTAAGATCTCATTGGTCCATTCAATTAAAAAAAAAAAAAAAAAGATCTCATTGGTGGCTCATGTAGCTAAGGCCACATAACACCTGAGCTGGTGGGTTTGAATCTAGCCCAGGCCGCCAAACAATGACAGTTACAACCAAAAGATGGCTGGGCATTGTGGCAGGGTGCCTATAGTTCCAGCTACTTGGGAGGCAGAGGCAGAATTGCTTGAGCCCAACTCCTTGGGTTGGAGGTTGCTGTGAGCTGTGATGTCACAGCACTCTACCCAGGGGGACAGCTTGGGGATCTATCTCAAAAAAAAAAAAAAAAAAAAAAACCTCATTGGTGCTCTTCTGTGCACCACCTAACTAACCTTACCCAGTTAGTGAGTTGCTACTCACTGAGGGCTCACTCTGGGCCATGTGCCATGTAAGTCTTAATATATAACCTTACCTGTTACTGGATAATCACTAATATGTATAAGCAACTAAGCTGAGATCACGTAACTATTAGGTGGCACAGCTGGGAGTAAAACCCAGGACTGGGAATGAAGCCAGTCTAGTGGCCCCATGTTTGGCCTTTCAATGTGATAGCCCTTCAGAACTTTGTCAGCTCTCACTTGGCTGCTGGCAACTCTCCCAACCCCTCGCCCCCATACACTCCTTCCTCCTTTCCCCTTTCTTTCCCTCTCCATGTGGATGTGATCATACACAGCAAGCTACTGATCATCCTGACCAGGCTGGCTCCTTCCCAGCTCTGATTTCCACCCCTCTAGTCTTGCCTTTCCCAGGTGGCTCACCCTAGGGCATCGTGCTCTACCTGGCACTCCCCGAAAGTGCTTCTGGTTCTGTTCCCCTTCCTCCTGCTCCACTCAGCCATCCCCACTCCAGTGTTCCTGTTCCCTCTTCTAACTAGACAAGGCATTCACTCCTGACCATGACACTTGAATTCCCCTCGTAGGGACCCCCTTTGCCTGTGTTGGCTTCCTCATCTATAAAATGGGTCCCCTGTCTCCCTGAGTGGGCTATGTGTGATGCTTACATGTGCCTGCCACACAGCAGGGCTGGCAACCACAGCTAGCAAACCTGAGCACCTGCTGAGGTGAGGAGGTAGCTGGCAGAGATAGTAGTTCTTGTTCCTTAAGATGTCAACCCCAGGTCCTTAAGATAGTTAGTTACCTTACTGGATATGTCATAACTAGGTGAGTCAGATATACTCTGTCCCTTTTAAATGTTCTCAGTAATACTGGAGGCTAATGCTCAGGTGAGGATGTCACTGACATGTCTCATACCCAGCTATCATGATGCTGTCCAGACTCAAGGTGATCTAGGCCATAAGGGTAAAAGGCTGTTCTGGTTAGCTTAGACAGGGTAAGAGTGGCCAAGACAAGCCCTCTCTGTGCCCCCTCCTTACTACAGTACTGGGGAATTGGTGCCCCCTGGTGCCTGGTGATGTTATACTCAGCATGTTGAGAGGAAAGGAGGGCATTAGATCCCGTTTTCTTTCTCTTGCTTTTTTTTTTTTGAAACAGAATCTCACTCTGTCACCCTGGGTAGCCATGGTCTCATAGCTCACTGCAATCTCAACTTCTTGGGCTTGAGCAATCCTCCTGCCTCAGCCTCCTGAGTAGCTGGGACTATAGGCATGTATACCTGGTTAGTTTTTTTCTTTCTTTTTTTTTTTTTTGATTGAAACAGAATCTCAAAAGCTGTTGCCCTGGGTAGAGTGCTGTGGTGTCATAGCTCACAGCAACCTCCAAGCGATCCTCTTGCCTCAGTTTTTCTATTTTTAGTAGAGACAGGGGTCTTGCTTTTGCTCAGGCTGGTCTCAAACTCATGGGCTTAGGCAATCCACCCGCTTCAGCCTCCCAGAGTGCTAGGATTACAAGCATGAGCCACTGCACCCAGCCTCCTTTCTCTTTTTTAATGAATAATATAAAAGGCCAAACCTGGACATGACGGTATGGATGAAGCCCCCTTCCTTCATTAAATTAAGGGGGGCAGGCCAGGTGTGGTGGCTCATGCCTATAATCCTAGCAGTCTGAGAGGCCAAGGCAGGTGGACTGCTCTTAGCTCACAGGTTTGAGACCAGCCTAAGTAAAAGCAAGACCCCATCTCTAAAAATAGCCAAGCATTGTGGTGGGCACCTATAGTCCCAGCTACTAGGAGGCTGAGGCAAGAGAATTGCTTAAGCTCAAAGAGTTGAGGTTGCTGTGAGCTATGACGCTACAGAACTTTACTGAGGGTGACAAAGTGAGTCTCAAAAAAAACCCAAAAACCAAACAAACAAATTAAGGGGGGACACTCAGAGGAAAAGCCCTGGCTTTTTTTTTTTTTTTTTTTTTTTTTTGGTTGCAGCCATCATTGTTTGGCGAGTCCAGGCTGGATTTGAACCCACCACCTTAGGTGTATGTGGCTAGTGCCTTAGCCACCCAAGCCATAGGCGCTGAGCCAGATTTTTTTTTTTTTAAAGACAGTCTCATTTTGTCGCTCTCAGTAGAGTGCTGTGGCGTCATACCTCGCAGCAACCTCAAACTCTTGGGCTCAAGTAATTCTCCTGCCTCAGCCTCCTGAGTAACAGGAACTATAGGTGCATGCTACAATGCCCAGCTATTTTAGAAACAGGGTTTCACTCTTGCTCAGGTTGGTCTCAAACTTGTAAGCTCAGGGCAATCCACCTGCCTCGGCCTCCAAGTGCTGAGATTACAGGTATGAGCCACCACGCTCGGCCTCTGGCTTGTTGGTCCACAAAATAAAGCTTGAGTATGGTGGCTCATATCTGTAACCTCAGCACTTTGGAAGGCTGATGCAAGACAATTGCTAGAGGTCAGGAGTTTGAGACCACCCTGAGCAACATGGGACCCCATTTCTACAAAATAGGAGAATTAGCCAGGTGGGATGGTGTATGCCTATAATTCCATTTACTTGGTAGGCTGAAGTGGAAGGATGGCTTAAGCCTAGGAGTTTGAGGCTGCAGTGAGCTATGATTGTGCCACTGCATTCCAGCGTGGGTAACAGAGCAAGACTGTCTCAGGAGGAAAAGAAAAGGAAAGAAACAAAAGGACAACATCTTTGAGGATGGTGATAGGGCTTAAATGGCATACAGCCAGGCTTATGTTAAATGTTCAGCCATAATTGGGACAAGTTAACAAGCAAAGAAGACTCAAAAGGTCCAGAGGGACTGCAAGCGTAACAGTAGAGAGGAGGACCTGGCTGGGGCACTTAGGAAAGCCATGCTTGGCCATGGAATTGGAGTGAAGAATAGAAGCAGCCAGTTTATGGATAATATTTATTTGTATTTTACCTATAGAACAAGTATTTACAGATACAAATGGAACCACAGCAAAACTGCTATAAAACCATTCAGACCCTCTTGATAGCCACTTCTCAAAACACAGTCAAGGGCAGGGCTGGAGCCTGGCTGTGGAGCAGGCCAGCTGAGTACCTGGGCATCAGCCAAGGGAAACAGCTGGGGATTATGGCTTCAGCATTCTCTGAAAGCACATTCCTGAGCGCTGACAACGTGGAGCCCTCACTGCCCTGCCTTTCTCCAACCCCAGTGGGAAGAAAAAGGGGCCCAAGCAGGGAAAGGCCCGCAGTCTTTGCCCAGCCCCTGTGCTGGCAGAAGCATCCCTGAGCTGGACTGGGAGGTCTCTGGCCTGGGGCTGTTGCTGCCCTGCAGGCTGCTGTTTGGCAGCTGGAGGTGGCAAGAGTTGCCGGTACTGCCAAACAGGAGCTGGCCCCAGCAGGCAGCCCTGAGGAAAGGTCTTAGAAAGCATCTCCCAGCTCAGTGCTGGGGGGTCAGTGCTAGGTGGGGCTGGGAGGCTACATGAGCACCTGCCTTTCCTTTCTTTGGCTTTGAGGTGGTGAAGGAAGGGCTGGGAACAGGGCACAGCAGAGAGAAACCACCCCAGCCTTGGCCCTTAGGCTGTCTGGAGCCTGGGTGCATGAGCAGAGAGGTGTCCTCCCGCAGGCTGGAGGCTGGGGATGAAGGGAGCCGGAGACAGGACAGGTAGGGAGTCCCCTGCAGCCCTGGGCTCCTTGGGCTGTTCTTACTCCTTCTGGGGTCCCCATGGGATGAGGCCTCTGCTTGGGACCAGTGCTGCTGTTCCTCACTGCTCATCTTGCACCTCTGGGGGTGCAAGACAACAGGGTAGCAAGGACAGATGACCACAGCCTGCCCCGGGCCTGGCACATGAGGATCACAGTGTCGGTCTCGCACACACGCCTCTGGGCCACAGGTGCAGGCCACATGCACACACACATACACCTTCCCTCCTGTCTGGTCAGAGGCTCATTCTCACAGTCACCTGCCCTCTCAGCCTCTCACATACACGGTCACAGAGTGAATCTGAGTCTCTTGTTGCTATGCGGGGAGTGGGGGCATCGGGGATGGTTATTCCACGAAGAGCGAGAACAGCACCATCACCATGATACCGGTGCAGAGCAGAATCACCTGCTGCAGGGAGTGCCTGTGGGGAGAGGGCCCAGGCTCATGGGGGCGGCACTGGCTCAGAGAGTGGGCAGCAGCCAGAAACTCTCCCCTCGTGGGCCCCTAAGGGCCCTATGAGTGGCAGTCCCCGTGTGTCACTCACCATGGGTCATCTTCCTCCAAGAGGTCGGGCAGCACGTTCACCAAAGCAATATAGAGAAAGCCACCAGAGGTGAAGGGCAGGATCCAGGCCACTGTCTCTTCTGTGGTGAGAGGAGAATGCCCAACTGGCTTGGAACCCAGGGGACCGTGTGTTTGTTCTACCACCTCCCACAGGGGAGACCAGGTCAGACCCTGGCCTGGATACCAGTAAGAGAGCAGACATTCCACATTTGGCCAATACCCCACTGCTGACCACTACCCGCTGCCACCACCCACCATGCCCGTACCTACTCCCTTGGGGGACTGCGTACAGATGGCAAAGCAGGCTCCCAGCAAGCCCCCCAGTGCCGTTGAGAGTTGCAGCTTGGCTGCGCTCCATCGGTCAAAGCCAGCACGGAGCAGGATGGCAAAATCACCCACCTAAGAAGAGGTCCAGATGTTCATCCTGCATCCCAGCTGGCCCAGATCCCCTGGGCACTTCAGGTACAGACACATACATTGAGCCCCCTGCCTTGCCTTGCCCTTGGGACCCCATCCAGAGGAGGCAGGAACATGGTAGAGATGGTGGCTGTAGCCTGTGGGGTAAGAAGCTCCAGGCCCCATAGCCCAGCCTCCACCAGCCAGGCAGGCCCACCCTAAAGCCCTCCCTACACACCAAACCCATACTGACCAGGGATCCCTTTGGTCCTGGGCCCTTGAGGTCACGGTCCGAGGACTCACCTCATGGGGGATCTCATGCAGGAGGATGGCCATGGTCGTCAAGAACCCAATCTGCAGGGAGGGGAGCCTGAGTCTGCGGGGTCTGTGTCAAGGGGTAGCCCACCTGCCCACTCATTCTATAAGGATTTATTCTGCTTTGATTGGGTCTGGTCTGGACAGTGTGCTGGCTACTGGATATACAGCAGACACTAAAGGGGCCAGGTACCTGCCTTCATGAAGGTAACAGTCTAGAGGGAAGAGATAGGACTAAGCAAACACTCAGAACCCTGTGCTCACACAGCAATAGGTGCTGTGAAGGAAAGATGGACTGGGTGTCTTGGAGCACGAATAGCAGAGAGCTAATTTAGATGAGTTCAGCAGAGGCTTCTTTGAGGAAGTGCATTTATGTCAAGGCCTGAAGGATAAGCAATCAGCCATTCCTGTTCAAAGAGTGGGTGGAAGAACATTCCAGGCAGAGGGAACTGTGAGAAGGGAAAGATTGGCCGGTTAAAGAGTAGGCAGAGCACTGGGCCAGGGCACAGAGGGCAGAGGGAGGCAGGGGAAGAAGCAGGCAGGGGCCTAGTCTAGCCTGATAGAGGCATTCCTATAAGGAGTGTTGGAAACAAGAACAGACCAGCGGCTGGAGACAAAAGGAGGTGTAGGGAGACCAATAAGGAGGCTCTGACAGTGTTCAGTACAGCAGCAGGAAGGACAAGGGGTGAGGGGAGCAGTGTTTAGGTAAAAATGCTGGTAATAGAGGGAGCAAAAAGTAGGTAGAACCAACTGGTCAACACAGGCACCACCAGAACTTCCTGAACCCACCTACCCAACCCCTTCTCACCTTCTTGCTCACAAGGAAGCTGGCAGCCACAGCCAGCCCATGAGTGAAGTTGTCGATGGTGTTGGCCAGTAGGTTGAGATAGCCTCTGACCTAAGGAGGGGAGAGAGCCGGCTAAGCCAGGCAGGTGGGACTGAGCTGGACAAGCCGCTTGGGGCTATGGGGCAGTGGGGTGGTGAGATGGGATCCCAGGGTAGGATGCCTGAGCAGGCCACTCACTTTGATGCTCCGAACCACCACACTGAGGCCAGGCTCTGCAACCGGCTGGGCCAGACAGCGGCCTCCATTGAGTGTGGCAGCAGCAGTAGTGGGGTCTTTGGAGGGAGCCTAGGGCCAGAAGGGGGAAAAAGTGACATCAGATGCCTCCTCAACTGGACCAGGGTAGACATGGAAGAAGAGTGAGAGATGAAGAAACAGACAGGAACATCTCTTTGATCTGGCTAGACTTTGCTGCCTGATTAGCTGGGTGTCCCTCAAACTCAGCACCCACCCCTCACCCCCTGCCGCCATCATCATCAGTCTACCAGAATAAGCCATAGCAGGGGCTGATGCTGTCACTCCCCGGATACTTCCAAAGAAGATGGCCTAGCCTCCCAAAGCTCCCAGGAAAGAGAGCCAGGAGATATCTCTTTTCAGGACTCAACTCAGAAACTGGGCTTCCAGGCCCTGGGCACTACCACAGAATGGAGGCTAACATCTCCAGGCCCTGGGGTCTAGGGCTCACCTGGGTGGTCCCTTGCCTCTCCTTGTTGTCCAGGAACATCTTCTCCAATGCCAGGAAGGACAGGATGCCAGCAATGACCCACAGCCCCAGTTGCTGCTGCTGCTGCAGGCTCTGCCCCTCACCACCTGCAGGGGGCAGCACTGATAGGCCAGGCCAAGCCAGGGCCATAAAGGGGGCCATTTGGCATGGGACCTTCCCCAGAGCAGTGACAAGGACAGGGGGCTAGGACAGCCTGGACACTCAGAAGCCCTCTTCCAGTCATCTTGGCAGAGCTGGCAGGGCTCAGGACATCTGTGGGCATGGGTATCAGCTCCCAACTCTTGCCCCCTCCCCTCCGGCCTGTGGCCTCACTCACCAGGGCTGGCACTGCATGTGTAGGCCCAGGCCTCAGGGAGCAGGTGCAGGAACACATTGCCCAACAGTCCTCCTAAGGCAAAGCTGAGCAGCTGCTTCAGGCGCCGGGCCCCAGCTACAAGGCAGAGGTGTGAGGTCTGGAGGCTGCCCCACTGGAGCCTGGCCTGGCTTCTGTCCT